GCTTAGCTTATACCGTCCGTTCTACATTAAACGCACATGTGTAAAGGTATTACATGCATGTGTAAATGCATATGTGCATGCGTAAATGCATTATGCGTTTACGCATGCACAGAAAGTTTGCAGCTTTGAGATCTGGATTATGCTAAATTATCCCAATGATTAAAAGCACATATGAGATCTTTAAGAATCAAAAAATGAATTTTACTGATAGGTGAAAAAAATTACTTAAATATTGAACTTATGGTTAAGTCAAAAAATTTTGTAATTCATAGTAAGTTTGAATAATTATTGGGTATGTATCAGCTAAACGTCACTGTCGGCTTAGTGTCCTGTTGACTAAATGTCCTGACGGCTAACTCTCTGTGTCGGCCAAATGTCCTGTCGGCTAAGTGTCCTGTTGAGTAAGTGTCCCTGTCGGCTAAGTGTCTGCGTCGGCTAAATATCCTGTTAGCTAACTGGTGTCGGTTAAGTGTCTCGTCGGCTAAGTGTTACGGACCCATAAAATATTTCATATTTCTTTTATAATTACATCTAAAAGTAGTAATGATTCCTTATCCAAGTTGTCCAACGACTTCTTAAACATCCCGCATATCTGTTCATTTCAAGAAAATGCTACAGTCAAAAGTCGTTAATTCGGACACCCATAATTCGGAATGATCTATAATCCGGACCTCAAAACTAAAAACTTTCTGCGCATGCGCCGCGTTGACACATGCGCATAGGCGTTTGGCGCGTGCGCGTAAGACCTTTTTTACGACTGCGCATATGAGTGTGCGCAAGTGCAGAATACGTTTTTTTTCGCGTGCGCGTTTTATGTATAATGGACGTATAAGCTAAAATTATCTAATTATCTATTTCAGTTAATGTTGATGATTGCGTTGTTCCTTAATTTTCGAATTGGATCCGGCTTATTATTTTTTGCAGACTGTAAGAGCAATTTTATAAAAAGTAAGCTTAAACTTTCGATTATATCAAATAGAATTTCCGATATATATTTGTTAATATGTAAAGGATCTAAAGCGAAAGTATGTTTTGAAATCCGAAATCTGTTTATCAATTTCACGCTGCTTGGCGGGGGGAACGCCACGACATAATGAATTGGAAGTTGATCTGTCAACACTATCCTTATCTTCAGCGCAGATGTTTTTATTTTATTTGGCTTATAATTTTTTTACCAATGTAGTATTTCATCTCGATATGCTCCGTCTTTGATATGATTTAAAACAACAAGTTCCTCGTCGTTATAATTCGCTTCCGATAGCGAAGAAAGTGACAGAGGTTATTGAAAACGAAAAAATTTCGATTGACAAATTAGTCGGTGTTCTCGACACAGCAGTTATAGGACTTGAACAGCAGAACTTTGTAACTGAACAAGAAATTATGTCTGTTTAATAGAATTAAAGAGAAAGTATTAGCATAAAAACCTAAGCAACTTAAACAACTTACATTGAAAGAAATGTTTAATAAAGTAAACAAATAAATATTAAGCTTTTTCTTTTTGCAAATTTTGATACCCTTTAGATCATAATTGTTCTTTATTTCATAAATTACGGTTTCATATTTTTAATTTTAGAATTTGCTGCATGAGATTAAACTGAGATTAAACTGATGATCTATAATCTGGAAAAATCGATAATCCGGAATCGCCGAAGTCCCGACGAGTCCGGATTAACGACTTTTGACTGTATATGCTTTCATAGCTAATAAAAAAAATTTATAGGACTAAACCATTTTTATTTTTCTATATTTATCATTTAGATTGGAAACATTTACTGAGTATTAAAAGAAAATTATTATTTCAATATCATCCTAGGAGGGATTTTTTTTTTTGTGACATCCGAAAGTAATTTCCATAAAAAATGTCTTCCTGCCAGACATCACAAAAAGTCTTCATATTTTCTAAAGAAGACAATCCAACCCACCCTTCAAAGTTATTTTTTTTTTCAAAGTGCATAAAAGAGAACATTTTAATTCTCATACATTCATGTATCAAATTTTACTCACCAGAAACACAACTTTAAAATGTTTTAAGGCTTAATATTTGAATACAAATACAGACTGTAAAGTGAATTTTTCAAGCAAAACATTAAATTTTGAGGGAATCTGAATTACTTCCCTGTATTTTTCAGTACATAAAAAACATTTATACAAACTGAGAGGATGAACAAAAATAAAATATCCCGAGTAAGGCAATATCCAAATAGCTTGCTTTTCAATGTGTTCATGAAATTTCATTATATGCAGCTTTTTATTCAATTTTGTGATTTTCTGATTATTTAATATTTTATGTTATTTACACAAAATCCTTCTTTTCTTACACTTTAATACATTGTTAACTTTTCTGGTTGATATATTTATGACATTTCCATGGCTTTTAGTATGTTAGCTGATATTATGCTGTTTAATTCTTTCATCTAAAACACTGCTAAATATTCTTCCAAAGAGATTTTAGAAAAGAAAAAAAAAAAAAAAAAAATCTAGTAAGTAATTACTCAAATGAATAGAAATATATAGTGATGCATAAATAAACAAAAATCAGTAAAACTATCAAAGAATACATAATAATAATTAGATTACACAATTTCTTGAATGCAAATGACAGAATCCCATTTTTCTATTTACCAAATCTTTCAGCAAAGATTATGCAGTTAAAAATCAGTTTCATTTTTGTAAAAAAAGTAAATACCAAATAAAAAATTAAGTCTTTCAGATAAAACTGAACAATGACATTTTGTTTCATATGACTATTTATATTAAAATAAAATTTAAATATACAAATAAATTAACAAGCCTAATTTTATTTGGCTTAAACAAACAAGCTTTTCTCTTTGCTCATCTTAGCCCTTATCATCTCATTATTCCCTTTACAGTTTCCTATTTTTAATAGCCCCTTACATCGTTCTAAATGTTAACTATTCTAAAATCACTATTAAATATTTAATGAAAGATCATCTTATCCTATTTCTGGTGTACATCAATTATTAATACAAAGAGAAGGGTTTATTTTGCAAAAATTGATTTTTCTCAAGCATGTCTACAGCTTTCAGTCAGAGGTAAATCTTCTGAAGCTTTAACAATTATGATGTACAGAGATGCTCACAAAATTACTTAAAATATGGAATGAAAATTCCTGAATTAATGTATTAAGCAAATTAGATGAATTTAATCTGTATTTTGATGCTACTTTTATAGAGTATATGCCTGAAAGAACTTTTGGATATATTGCGATGAGTTATTAATCATACAAACCAGGATAGTTTCTATGTTGATTCTTTTCTTATGAAAAGGATGTATATGAAGATATGGTAATACAAAATCACAAGATGAAGATTATTAAAGAATACAATTTGGCAGGATTTTTAAAGGTCAAGTCAGAAAAATGCATTAATTCAATACTAAATTTAAATCATGTACAGAAAAAAAGAGAGAGCTACTAAAATTAGTTTAATGAAGAATGGCATTACTGTATGCTATGTGTTGAAATGCTATTGTTACTGATTTATTAAAGGAAATAAAAGTACAGTATTACTAAGCATAAAAGCATGAAAATCTATAATTTACTTCCTTTTAAATGTTTAATAAATGAACTAATATAAATTTATCTCTATAGCGGTGTGAAAAATTATGGTTATATCATAAAAATATCAGTTTCAAAATTTAATATTAATATATGACAATAAAAGCTTCTGTTAATTGCAAAGTTAATAAATCCAATTTTTTCAACTGATTTTCATAAAAATTACAAATGAGTTAAATTATAAATCCCAAGAACTAGCTGAATTATAAATTGCATCAGTTATGAATATTATTAACATGATTTAGCTACCATCTCTCTTTGTAAAAAATGTCACTAAAGCCTGAAAGAAGATTGGAAAACTTATATTTTTAAGAGTACCAATAAAAATTATTTTGCAGCAAGATACATAACATCATGCATTAGAAACATATCCTGTTAGCTAAAGTTATGAGGCAAAAGTTATCACTCAAATATAAATCACATAATTACAACACATTAGTACATAAGTTCTGATAAGGAACAACAATATATGCAATAAAAACAGCTATATGAAGGAAATCAAATATATCAAGATAGAGCTAATTTTTTTATTAATTATGGTATTACAAAAATGCAAAAGAAAAACTGAGAACCAGTAAAAAGCAAAATAAGAACTAGTCTAGGCCAAATGGCCAAAATATCAGAACAGTCAATTGAAATATTCTAGCCCTCATCAGAGGAATGGACAAAATTGATTCGATTTACCATTCCAAATAATAGCTATTAATATTTTTGCTGCTAAAGCATAATTATTCTTTTGGTTTAGATAGAATTTATATTTTTAAAGATTATTCCTATATACTTGTGCATGTGTGTGCACGCAGAAGCTAAAATTTACAACTTGAAATAAACTTGTGGGAAGGTTTTGTATCCCTGGATAACATTAATAAGTTTTCATTTATGATTCTTTTAATATATATATATATATATAGTAAAATAATATATATAATATGCATGTTAATATGATCCATGCTTACTTTGGCACACACCAAATTTTTACTTAATATTTACATTATATGCAAAATTTTCATAATATCTGCAAGGTGAAAATAGTAATTTGCAATCTCAACAATTTCCTACATATAAGGATAAATTATTTTGGTCACAAGCATGCTGTTATAAGGAAGCCAAGCTCTTGGGCATGGTGTGTGTGTGGGGGGGGGGGGGAGAGATAAAAGTGAAGTTGTGCATTTCATAATTTTTCAAATGACTTTATGGAATCTTGTGTGACTGGCATATTTATATGCCTCCCTCCTTTAAATCTGTGCTGATGATCATCATCCTAGTACTTTTAAAAATAAAACACTTAAAAAAAATTTTTTTTTTAAATTTTTGCATTTAGAACATGTATTAGTTATCAAAGGATAAACATTAAAATAGATAATTATTTTAATAAAAATGATATCTTTATGTGAATATTCAAAGTAAGAAGAGAGAAACTTACCTGATCATTCCAAGCAGATATACAATAAATAGATTCATCTTCTTCTAATAGTCGAAGAGTTTGGCTAAAATAACTAAACAAAGGAGGAAAAAAGATCTTACTTGAAAAATTCTTTTAAATTTATTAAATAGTAGTGAGATATAAAAAAAAAAATTTATTTCAAAAGAAAATGAGAAAGAATATTAATGAAAGATAAAATACAGGCTTACTAATGATAAAAACAATAGCTAAATACACATCTATTCTTACAAATAAAAATCCCTCCCCTATTTAAGTACCATGTAAATAAGTTTTTACACTGCAGTGTTTTGTGTATAGTTTTAATTCAGATCCATCTTAAAAATATTTCCATGCACAAAATGTCCACTATACATACATATTTTTGATTATGCTAATGAAGTTATGAAAAATATGCAATTTTGTAAATTCAACTTGCCATGCATTTTAGGATCACAAATTATGTAATGTTACATTAATTACACATTATATTTTGCAGCCTTACACACAAGTTACCATGATTTTAATTTTGTGACTTTTTAAAAAATGAAAGGAACTCTTTATTACGAATATCGTGTTTCAGTAATATACAGTTTCTTCAACAATATTTAACTAAACTAAACGATAAGAAAATTCTTTTAAATATTTTAATTTCAGAGAGTTTATAGTTAATCTTTTCTAATAGATTCAAAAAAGCATAGTTACCTAAAGAAGTCGGGTGATACATCCAAATCTTCTTCAATAATAACTGCATATTTAGCATCCTAAACAGGAATACAAAAAAATTGACATAATTTTATTGAATTATAATTTTAAAATAGTTTCTTTTCAAATACATGAGTAAAGTGAAAATAAACTTACTGGAAACAAGTTAAATGTAGCTGTAAGACTAGCCTTGTAATGCTGTGATATTCTAGCATTCTTGGCACCAATTGGGGTATGCTGATGAAAGGCAATTTTTTTTTAAGATCATTCAGTAAACAAATTATCATTTCTTAAAACTTATAGTGAGGAAAATACAATACAAGTTCAATAAAATGCAAGTTCTGTTAAAAAATATACTGGCAATTTATTTTTAAGATCAGGCAGAACACAAATTATCATTTGTTAAAACTAAATGCAAGTTCTGTTTAAAAAATATACTGAGTGCTTCTAATATTACATAAGTAGGCTTCAAAGGTTGAAAATTTATCTAATGCATATAATTTTTTTTTTCAAACTACAAAAAAAAAAAAAAAAAAAAAAAAAAAAAAATCTCAATAGATGTAGGAGGGTTTTTTTTTTTTTTAAAGTTTTAATATCAAGAAGGAAACAGTATTTTATAAATTATAGCTTACCTGTATTCCTCTTAAACCAAAAAGTTTAGTAACTTCTAATGGTTCCTGCAAATATATTTGAAATTTATTTTGCAGTAATTTATAGTAAAACTTCAATAATTTGCTTTTTGATCAAGATTTTTGCAATACGTATTAATAATTAAATAACCTGAAATTCGGAAATCTTTACACGAAATAGAAAAAATATTAATATTTCAAAAAACTGGAATGGAAATACAGTACAAAGTCCGAAATCCGGACATTCATTATCCAGAATTATCTAAAATCTGGACCTCAAAACCACCAACAACGTTTTTCTCCTAGGTTTTATGCATGCGCATTAGATTCCCCTCTCCATGCATAATAAAACATCTGGAGAGTACCGATTCTTAATTTCACTTCGATACCAAACAACAAAATACCTATTTATTGAAGAAATAAACATTTTAGTATAAATTTGTATGATCAGTAATTTCGCTCTGTTGCTGCGTATCTGTTTTTTTGGCACACATCTCAAACCAAAACATTTCTACATAGATACATCATTGTTCTGACGCCAACCTGGTGAATCATTATTTATTATACTTTCCTTTCATCACCACATGTTTATCAAAACATAACAACTTCAGTAATGACTCATGTAGCCATGCCTAAAAAAAATTTTTTTATGTTGGTAATTGAATAATAAAGGAGTATGGTAACCTTTTATGCTGACATTACGCTTGGCGATAATTACAGATTTAAGTTAAATGCACTAAAATATGATGATGAGGAACAATTGACCAATTTCTTTCCATATGCTAAAAATCGATTTTATTGATGATACTCCTAGACCCAAAGATTACATTTAAAGCTATTTGAATTAAAAATAACTGATTTGTTATTCGCATAAACCCAGAACCAGCGTCAGGGCTTGTATGGCCGCATGGAGTCGCAGAATTTAGGACCCACAGAGACTGCATCAGGCAGTAAGATATCCAGCACCGGCCTTCAATAAGGCTTAAGCATATGTGGGATTTATTTATTCAGAACTCTAATAAGCCTTAAGCATATGCAAGAAATAGACATAAGTATAATAAATAACTAATACAATTCAGGTTTAATTGTCTCAGTGCGCGATAGAAGCAAAATCAAATTTAACGGAACAACTTGTGGTTAATCGCTAAGCTCATCATGCATAGCCAAATAAATACGTATAGTGAAGGATAGCTACATTTGATGATGATGATAGCCGTTAATTTTAAAGGTTTTCGGGATATCGCAAAACAAAGGTGAAATTTTTCCAGTTAACGGATTTTGTAATTAGAAATGTGGAGAAGCAGTGGTAATAAATGAAGATGATATAAGAGAAGTTTTTCATAGTGATGACAATGCTTCTCAATTATCAATCAATTAATGAATGTCAAAATCTGTAATACGGTGTAGATCCAGAAAATCCCGCTACCGATAGTGAAGAAAGTGAAGAGAAGTTACTGAAAACTACAAAATTTCGATTGACAAGCTCCAAACAACAGTTATAGGACTTCAACAATGCAACTAAACAAGAGATTATGTCTGTCTACAGAATTAAAGAGAAAGTATCAACACAAAAAAATGGAGCAACTTAAAAACTTACAATTGAAAGAAATATTTAATAAGGTAAACAAATAAATATTAAGCTTTTTTTTTTTTTTTTTTTTTTTTTTTGTAAAATTTTGATACTTTTTAGATTATAAATACTTCATTATTTCATAAATCATGATTTCATATTTTTAATTTTATAATTTCTACATGCCATCTTACTAGATTTAAACTGACAATCTAATATCCAGAAAAATCCCAAATCTGGAATTGCTGAAATCCCGATGAGTCTGGATTTCGGACTTTGTACTGTAATTTGCATATGCTGTTTTCATAAGTAGAAATGTCAAATTCAAATACAAAATTATTTTGTGAACTGAATATTCTGTTTAAAAATATGACATGAATTTCAAGAATTACTATAAAGATTAAAGGTGATCAAATGGTAGAAAAGTTAGTACAGAATAAATATTACCTCAAAATAGCCATCTATAAAAACAGTTATCATTTCTGGATTGCAGCCGTGAGCTGATAATAAGGACCGTAACATTCTAAACAGGGATTGAAAAAAGCATTTATTTTACAGAATAATAATAATAATTTCATTATAACTTAAAAAATATATTAATAACACCGTTCTACAGCAAAACCTTTCATATGAAACTGATGTGTATTTTATAAAATTTATAATTTAACCCAAAACTGATCTTCAAAATTCTATTTTCTACTGATATGCAAAATATATCTTACTACAGCATATAAAAAGTACACATATTGATGTCTGTATACATACAAGTGGAATACTCCTAGTAAAATTCTTATATTTCAAACTAATACAGGGTGTGGCAGGGAAACTTCCTTATTTAAAATGCACGCCATCTAGCGACATTTATTCCGAGAAGGGTGGGGCAGGGCTCATTGAAAAGAGAGGTATCTAAAGTTTTATATCATGTAGGTTTAGTACTGACCACGCAGTGGATGAGAGAGGAGCGCGCATTCTCCATGCAGTTGTAATTTTCAACGTACTGCATTTTCATCCATATAGATTGACAGTGATGCAAAAACGTAATCCACGAGATTTTCTGTCATGAAAAAATGCATGCAAAGCAGTTCTTGACAGTACACCTCATGATGCCCTTGTGTTCTTTAGCGATGAGGCTCATTTTCATCTTTCCGGCTGTAGCATGCATTAAGCAAAATATGCAATAACGAAGTGGCACAAATCCCCGAGAATTTCATGAGCAGATCCTCATCCTCCATACAGAACGTGTTCGCCTGATTTAGCCCCATGTGATTTCTTTTTGTGGAGCTATATGAAATCTCTAACATTCAAAGACCCTGGCTCAACTGAAGAACAATATTCAAGCTGCTGTCGACAATATATCTATTGACATACTGGTAAAAGTGTAAAGAAACTTCAAAACTCGACTATCTCAATACATTAACCAGAACAGAAGTCACCTAATGATATTAATTTTAAACCATAATAAAAAAAAATGTTTTATGTGTCTCTATAACTTGGGAAAAAATTAAACTGATATCGCTTATACTATTTGTGTTATTCATTTTTTTAAAAAAAAGGTAGTTTCCCTGCCGCACATTGTATTAAGAAAGCCAATAAAGTACAAATTTGTAATTTTTAAATAGTTTTAGAAAATTTTTTAAATGTATGAAACGGTAAAAGGAAAATCAGCATGGAAAAACTGCTTCACAAGCAGTGGCCAATAGTAGTGGATATGCATATAACTGTGATGCAAAAATTGCTAATGATAATTATAGCCATATATAGAAAATTTCCTAAAAATGAAAAGTTTTTGGTTTTTAAAATTATTCCGGCCTAATTCATTTTTAAATATTGCATTTCATTTAATTGAGTATTTTTGTACTATAATGTGTACTTTTTTTATTTATATTTACATTATAATGTTTTATTTTCACATTTTTACATGTTTTGCTCATATTTCATTGATTCAATACTTACATTTTGTTCTAACAGCTTTCTTACCATTTAAATATTTTTTCATTCCAAATAATTTTTAATTAATTTACATCACGTAGGGCAATTCTTGATATGCACATGATTTTGATAAATATTTATGTTTAATTTCATTTTTACTTTCGATTTGCAATGCATAGCAAGGACGAAATATGATGTCTGAATGGTTGAAAGGAGTGTGAAATAAACTAATACCCTCTGAAGAGTCGGTATTGTTTTATTATCTTTTCAATTATTAATTTTTAGGTAATTTTCTTTATATGGCTATAATTATTGTTAGCAATTTTTCATCACAATTTTATGCATATCCACTACTATTGGCCATTGTTTGTAAAACATAATAAAAAATGCCATTTTTATTATGCCAATTTTATTTTCCATGCCAATTTTCTTTTACTATTTCATACTTTTAAGTTTTCTAAAACTATTTAAAATTAATAAAAATTACACTTTAAATTTTACTTTAAAATTATGAAATTGTAAATTGGAATTTATTTAGAATTCAAATTGTAATTTCTTTACTGGCTTTCTTAATATTACTTTGAAATATAAGAACTTCAATAGGAGTACTCTCCCCTTTAATTATAATTATATTTAATTAAATCAATGCAGCCTAGGTGCAGGATTCTTAATAATCCTTCCTAACATTTGTTTATGTTGTTATATATATATATATATATATATATGAAAATAAAATATATTTGTATGTTAATATATGTATGTAAGATATAACAAAATACAATGGCTGCTTTGAGAAATAACTGGTGACCTCAAAATCAATGATTCTAGATTTTATGGTCTTCCCCCTAAATTTATCCTTTTAACCAAATTTGAAATCTTTTCATAATGCTGCTTAAAAAAGGTAACTAAAACTAAAATTAACCAATCATAGCTTAGAGTACTTTCTGCATATACTCGGCATAAATACTGCTCACAAGTAATTATGTCGTTACTTTATGTATATATATATATATATATTGAATGATCTAAAATTCATTGAATATGAAAACAAGTTTTTCTAATACTTGTGCAATAGCACCTGTATCTGTTGTGCTTCAAGAATCTCAAAAGGGAAAAAAAGGGGGGAAGATTCAAAAGGGCATGACTGTGGCTATATCTGATACACAAGTTTTCCATTGTACATCTATGGCACTATCAAAAATGTTTATACAGTCAAAAGTCGTTAATTCGGACACCCATAATCCAGAATGATCTATAATAAGGACCTCAAAGCTAAATTTTTCTGCGCATCCGTCGCGTTGACGGCTGCGAATATGTGTGCGCATGCGCATAATATGTTTACTCTTGCATGTTTAATGTATAATGGACTGTATAAACTAAGCTAAAATTATCTAATTCAGATAATGTTGCAGATTGCATTGTTCCTTAATCTTCAAATTGGATTATTATTCAAAACGGCTTATTATTTTTTGCAGACTGTTAGAGCTATTTTATAAAAGTAAGCTTGAACTTTCAATTATGTCAAATAGAATTTCCGATATATATTTACTAATATGTAAAGGATCTACAAAGCGAAAGTATGTTTTGAAGTCCATTAAACAAAGTGGAATTGCTGCAAAAAATAGATAAAGGTATATTTTTCGTTTCTCTAACCATTCAGAAATTTGTTTATCAATTTCACGCTGCTCTGCGGCGAAGGGGTGGGGGGAAACGTCGCGGAGCGCAATGAATTGGAAGTTAATCTGTCAGCACTATCCTTATCTTCAGGGCAGATTTTTTTATTTTATTTGGCTTATAATTCCTTGCTAAATGTAGTATTTCATCTTGATGTACTCTGTCTTTGATATGATTTAAATCAAATTCCTTGTCATTATAATTCGCTTCCGATAAAGAAGAAAGTGACACACAGGTTATTGAAAACGAAAAAATGTCGATTGACAAATTAGTCGGTATTCTCAACACAGCAATTATAGGACTTGAACAGCGGAACTTTGTAACTGAAGAAGAAATTATGCCTGTTTATAGAATTAAAGAGAAAGTATTATCACATAAAACGAAGCAACTTAAACAACTTACATTGAAATAAATGTTTAATAAAGTAAACAAATAAATATTAAGCTGTTTTTTTGTAAATTTTGATACCCTTTAGATCAAAATTGTTCTTTATTTCATAAATTACAGTTTCATATTTTTAATTTTATAATTTCTGCATGCCATCCTACCAGATTTAAACTGATGATCTATAATCCGGAAAAATCGAAATCCGGAATCGCCAAAGTCCCGACGAGTCCGGATTAACGACTTTTGACTGTATACATATATATGTATTGTATATTCGTATATAACAGTAATAATACATGTCTAATATATATAAGACATATATATGCAAATTTAATTATATATGTAAATATAATTAAAGTAAATATTCGAAAGCATACATACAAAAAAGACTCAAACCCACACACTTTATGAGATTTTCATTTATGATTTTCAATTTTCAATCAAGTATTGTCTCACATATATTACACTGACTGAAAAATACACAGATTTTCTGCATGCAAACTATGCTGTTATTCCGAAGCACACTTTTGATTAAACTTACCTGTAGAGGTAATGAGGCCTGTTACTAGCTATAATAGCTACTGGAACATCTCTCACTCTGTTGTTCTGAATCTGTGAAAGTAATAGGTAATATAAGATTATTCATAATTCCATAAAACATTTTTAAAGTTCATAAATTACAAGAAAATTTTATCATACTGAAATGGAAGCTAACAAAAAGTCCCCCTCTCCTTGCATATTTCACAAATGATCAATGTATCCACATTTATTGCTATGGTAGACATTATATTAATGTATTGCTAGCACCTGTATACCACAATCAACCAAAACCCACAGCTTTGGTGATGTGGTTATGAAAATCATAAAAATAGAGGGGAATGGAGGTATGATATATATATTCCCTTCCCAAGAAAAAGTCATAGAACAAGATGACATCCTATTAAAGTATCTTATTTGATTGAGATGCTATCTCAAATCATTTCAGTAATGATTTATGTGTTAGTGGATAACTGTGCAGTTGAAAAAGGTAATCATGCTGTTTACACTTAACCATAGTATTAGCTAATTTTTTAATAAGTTCAAGCAAATGTTCCTGTGAGGCACAAATATTAGTAGCATCTAAAAAAGGAGAACACATTGAATATTTGTGAAATATGTAAAAATACTTATATTCACATCTATTTCGTGGCAATAAAATTGATATTGGTTTCATAACTTATCCGTAAACAGACTACACATCATGTAATGAATTTTTTAAATATTTAAGAGAACTATAAATAATTCCACACAAAAAGGAAAACTAAATAATGCACTTTCAATAAAGAAATAACTTTCTTTAATGATTCTAACAAGATGATTTAAATTTTATCATTATATTATTAAAACAAATCTAATGCGGACATCAAACACATGACTTCCTTGCATGGCCTACCAAATTACAGTACACACACCTTACTAAAATCACTTCTGGTTCAAGCATATTTTAGTTTTAATTTATTTTTTATTTACTTTTTTATAAAAAATTTTATAATTACATACTTGACAGACTTTTAAACTCTTAAAAAGAACTGCTCTATCCATACCTTTTTCACACTGTTCATCAACAGCCTTTCAATTGTATTTTCAAGGTGTTAAAACTACTGATAGCTTTTTTGATCTCCACTTTTTCAATTCAAGAGTTCTTACAGTTTGCAATGCTTTTTCTCAATTCAGTTGAGGTTGGCATGTAGTCGCTTTCTTTCATATCACTTTTGCTGTCAGTTTCAGTAACTCTTAACACTTTATATAATATTTTAATCAGTGTTTTTACACGCTCTCTAAATGTTATCATTTGTTGTAATGTCTTCTAAAAACGAATCTGCTTAATTTCCTTCACTGATGTCTGAAACGTAAGAAATAGTTTGCAATTCCTCTGTGACTTCTAAATGAAAACCACATTTTCTACAGCAATTTTCAACTGTGTTTTGGTAGACTATGCATAGCATATAGCAGAGATTATCAACTTAGTTATTCCCTTCAAAATGCTCATATTTTCACAACATTCAGATTTTCTTTTTTTTTAAACAACACTTTTTCTGTAATTACATTCAAATGCTTTTGGAGGAAAGACAGAAGCCGTATCTGCATGAAAAATTTTAGGTTTTTCAGAATGATATCAGAGTAGTGTAATGCTATTTTTTCATTTTTCAATTCTCTGTCTCATTTCAAAAGGAAATGAATTCTTGTTATTATGGTAAGGTAAATACTTGACTCCTTTTAAACACTGTGGTTTACCACTGGTGTCTTTTTAATTATAGGATACACATTGTACATTAATAGCACAGTAACACACTCTTTTAATTTCTTAAAGCATACTGCTGTTTCACATTTAAACATTAACATGCACTCCAGTAATGCTCTGTAAAACAGATCAGCTTAATCTGTGTTATAAATTTTCAGTGGTATTCTTTATTCTTTTTTTGTATTCTTTTAGAAGCTTACATAAAATATCTTTTCTCTATTTCTCAGCCGATGATTATCTGCTCCTTATTTCTCACCACACAGTTTCAGATAAACAATGTTATTTCTCTCTTTCCACCTTAGCCATCCATCAGTTGGGAATGAAATTTTCTCTTAGCATTTTAGCAAATTCTACAGCTTTTGACATTAAAAGAGCTCTGGAAATTGGGAAACCATTCTAGAAGAGCGGTTTCAGCATCTTTAGATTTTCCATCCTTTGTGCTTCCTCAACACATTAGCAATTTTTACTAGTTTTTATCAATTTTATTTTTTAAGTAAACTGCATAATGCTGTTTGTAAAAATCCCCACTTTAAAAGCTGCTTCTCTTTGGCTACACTTACCAAACCTACCATAATCTTTCAGAAATTTATGTTTTTTCTTTCAGGCTTAAATAATTTTCAACAATTACAAGTCATGTGCACAGAAAATAAAAAATGTTTCTTTCAGCGATTTGTTCAAATTCAAAATTTCTATTTCTCGCCAGCAAGAAAAAAAGACTGCATCTTTCTTTGTCTGCCCAGTCAATGTGTCACTTCATGTTATAAGCATAACGGATGGCTTCTTTTATTCAGCCTATAACAACTATTCCCCTTTTCCAGTCAAAGACTGATTATGTATGATAATGCAAGAAAGCATTTCATGATGTTTTCTGAGAACATCCTACAAATTTAATGCGTGTATGCATGCCCATCCCCTATCAGCTGCTGTTCGAGAACAGGAACCAGTGTTCACTTAAGCAACAGCTATTATTTAATGGTGTGGAACACTCATTCATTTATAATTAAACAGCTTGTTTCCAATGCCTCTAAAGTATCACTTTTGTTAATCATAAGATAAAGGTATTCTGTCATCTCAGCTGTAATCCGGATAAAGAGATTTGCAAACAATGACTTACAAGAACTTAGGAAGTATACTCAACACTCCACAGTGGTCCTGGTTCTCACTACACTAGCTGAAATTTCTACCAAACCCATTTTATTAAAGCACTACACAACTGAACGATTAGCATGTGAATTACAAACAGATTTTATCAGCCATAAACAGTTTATTCTGTATCTGAATAACAAGACTCACCAGTTTGAGTTTTATAAGTGGCAGTAATGAATTTAATAAATGGCCTTTTTTCTATTGATTAGTATGCATTCATTTTAGCTCCTGGAAATTTGAATGCATTTAGCAGCTGAGTTTAATCAGCTACAGGCACTATACAGTGGAACCTTGAGATAACAGCACCTCTCTATATGAGAAATTCGAGATACGAGAAAAGCAAGAATGAAAAATTTGTCTCTAATACAAGCACTGACTCAAGTAACGAGCATTGAGCCAGGCTGTTGGTATGCATGGTGCCATTTCCTGATCCGGCTTGACTCGAGGAATCCCCTCGTCAGATCACTTGGTGTTCTTTCATGTATGTGTTTGTGTACTTGGGAGTAAATTGTTTATTACATTTAACATGAAAATAATTATTTCACAATGCCTTCCAAGAAGACTGTTGCCTCAAATAGCGCTGCAAAGAAAAATAAGAAAGCCATGGCGTTGAAATTAAGAAAGAAATCATGGATAAACATAAGCGTGGTATAAGAGTGGCGGAATTGGCGAAGACTTACGGGTTTTCAACATCAAAGATCTGCACTATTTTGAAGACGAAGGAAGAAATTAAGAAACCTGATATAGGCAGAAAAGGTATCGTTACTTCCAATCATCATCCAAAAACTCCTAGAAGCTGTTGGTGTGCATTAACGAGAAGCAGTTATGGTTGGTGTCAGAAGCTACCATAAAGGCAAACTACAGTTACTATTAGAAAAAGTGTTTTTTATGTTTATATTTTGGGGGTGTGGAATGGATTAACTGGATTTCCATTATTTTAAATGGAGAAGTTTGTTTCTAGAGATGAGAAATTTGCTATACGAGCTGGAACGAATTAAACTTGTATCACAAGGTTCTATTGTACACAATTTTTTTTCGGGGGGGGGGGGGGGCTGCATTTCATTGAAAATTATTTTTTCAAATTATTCTTAATTAACCAATTCCTCAAGGCAAGTTGAAAATTACATCAAAAACTGAAAATTTTGAAATCAAATATCCCAGTCAATTTCTCTTATACAAGAGTTAAACTTCTTATCATTTTATTTTTTCTTGAATTATTGGTGCCTTGAGGATTTGGTTGCTTGAGGAATTGGTTAATTAAGTTATAGTAATTTGAGAAAATAATTTTAAGTGCAGACAAAAAAAAAAAAAAAAAAAGTGTGTATAGTATCTGTAGCTGATTAAACTCACTGGTTAATAAATTCAGCTGCTTATTACGAATATGAAACATTCACAAATATTAAGTATAGGAATTGGGAAATCACATTAGACAGATTTTTAGTTAGCGTCAGTTAGATTTTTTTATTTGCATAATTTTTTTTTAACTTTGCATTCCCAAAACATGAATATTTTCATCATTTAAAACACCTCTGTAATTGAAAGCGTATAACTACAACCAATGATTGCGAAATATATACACTTTTGGTTCTGCTGGTTGCCATAAAATAGATGTTATAGCAGTCCTATATACAAAATTTCAGTGTTCTATGGCTAATCATTTTTGAGTTATACGAGATACATTCATATGGATGTAAGTACAGACAACATGAAAAAAAAATCTATTTTGAATCCATTTTACAATCTATTTGGAAAAAAGAGTCCTTTATTCTGTCCTTACGAACAGCTATGAGGCGAAAGAATAGTCAAAATGGATATTTTTGTTTAAATATGATACCCAAATTTTTTCATGATTACAATACTTCCTATACTTCATAAAAGGAAATAAGAATTAAAATTCTTATTGGTTTAAATTTTTATTAAAATACTTAAGATAAATTAATATAAAAAAAATCTGAAAGCTTTCAGATTTTATATTACGGCAAAATGGGTTTTTTTAATGTTTTGTGTGTTGCCTTTATTCATTAAACATCATGTTTGTTCTTCACACTTAAACCATAAAATTCAATTCAACAACAATATCACAAAATAATTTAAAAAGAGCATATCTTTAGAATTTCCAATACACAGTCTTGTGTGTTGAAGATAAAATCCCCCCCCCATATAGTGTTGCCATTGCTGGCTTTGAAATCATAGAGTTTCTTAATCAAAAACTCATAATTGCTTTACAAAATATTAAATAGATAATAAAACAAATTCCAAATTTGAGCTTTCAGATGCCCATATTCGGATGGAGACACACGTTATTCAAATTCTGATGGCTCTAGATACCATTGTTTTATCACAATGCAAGAAACATACATACATTTAAGTAGCTTCTTCATTATTTAAATTCTTTAAATATAATACAAGGCAATAATATTTGGTGGCAACAATGTGATGTGAAAAGTCAGTTAGACTTTTAAAATTTTCAGTGCAAAATGCCAAAACAAAATTAATAGCCCTTCAGGGCTAATCCCCTTTGGGCTAACAAGACATAGTACACTGAACTAGAGAACTCAATGCAGAATACTGGGAATTTCAGGATAAACTGCATTTAGTAAATCAAACAAATCAGTTACACTTCTAATCAAATGCTCTACTCCTGGAACAAAACTTAAAAAAATTTTAGTTATTATTTTTTAATATTGGTTATAAAAACATCAATACAACAAGAATTCTTTATTTACACATCCATATGAATATCAGTAATACAGGTGCATGATCTTCCTTATCTCGATAAAAAAATTAATGTTTCTTATGGAAAGCAATTGAAAGAAGAAACAATTTGCAAGAAAACCTATATAATATTTAAGGATAAAAATAAAAACTTACATCTTTGGGTGTGAATGCTAATGGTGCTGGATCCACACAACTACACACACTCCCATAACCTTCTATGTGATTACAGAAGCCTCTCCTTCGAATGTTTTCTTCATTTTCAGCCCAGTCACATTCACTCTCTTAGGAAATAATAATAAATAAAGGGAACATGCCAACATAACAATGTTTTGAATAAAAAAGTAAGTAATAATATAGACATAAGGGATTTATAGATTAATCACCTTCAACAGGAACTAGAGGAACTTCAACTCTCAACAGAACTGGTGCTCCCCAACTATTAAATTCAGGACTTTTGCTGTAATTTTCCCCATACAATTTTCCTGCAAAATAATATGAAAATATATACACCTAAGTAACAACTAATAACTTATATTATTCATGAATACTCTACTAACTGATAAACTAATTTTAAACATACATTATTTATTACACTTTCAGTATAAATTTTGTAATTATATATTAGTAATAAACCCCAAATAATAACTTCATGGATTTATTACCACTATTTTACAATAAAACACATTTAATAATGACAATACTAGCAATTTCCTAACATTGCAAATGGAGATAACATTTACAGTCTTCCTTAAAATTTTGTATATTCATTAATATTTTATTATTTTCATAGAAGGCCCAGACGCAATTTAGGAAGAATAATAGAGTGTATTTCTTTTTTTTTTTTTTTTTATATAAAAGCTATCTATAAGTTAAAACAAAAAAATTTAATGACGAAAATCAGATTCTAAATCTAATATAACATTTAAAAAAGTAAAAAATCGAATATGAAAAATAATATTTTAAAGTACTTCTTTTTATGGCTGTATGCTATTAAAAAACTAATAACTGATCTAAATGTAATTTCCATATGCTAAATTAGTAGGCCATGTTTTTAAGTACACTGATTTTTAAATGCTGGGGGGGGGAAGGCTAATACTGGCTATTACTTAATCACTTAATCTAATAAATACCTCACAAAGATAACCCATCACTTCTTCTATTCATTCTCAGCAATCTGAACTAGTCCCATGCTGGGGTTAATTCTAAAGATGCTTAGTGTGTTGGGGTGCTATCTGCAGGATCTGTGATGAAATTTCTGATGCAACACTCACTTCTACCCACTTATTACTATTCACTATTGTATGAAGATATAATTCTTAATTATCTTCCCTAGCCATCAGATTATGGCAAAATTCAGGTAAAAATTATACACGGCCCTCAAAATACACCAACCATAAATTTCAACATAATCTTTATAATCTTGTCAAATTTTAGAATTAACAGCAGAAATTTTAGATTCATTAAATGGAAAGGTAACTTCATTGATTAAACTGACAGATTATTTATTGACACAAAGTACATAAAAGTTCTCTGCCTTTCTAAGTACGTTTTTATGGATGCCTTTATTTGAGTAATGGTTTAAATTAGAGTGGAAAAGCTGTCAAAACACTGCAAATTCATCAAAATGGAATTTTGGAGAAACAGTGCATAAATAGGTAATGGCCAGGTGTAAACAGTTAATAATAGAGAGTAAATGCATAAAAACGAAAGTTTCTTATTGTTAAATTTTTCACTACATTTCAGATAATTATTATAGCATTATTTCATTATTATAGCAGATACACTTCATAAAAATGTCTGATATATGAAAATTGAAATTATACCTCCTTTTTGTGTGGCCATGGCCCACATATCTCTCCACCCAATGACATGAGCTTTCTTGCTTCCCAATCTTTTCAACAAATCTCTAGCTGGTTGCTTCATTTGGAATGTACCTTCATCCTATTCGACAAGAGATGGAGAAAAAAAAAAAAAAAAAAAAAAAGTTAAATAGGTTTATTCTGCAAAAAATGAAATAATTTATATTTTCAGTGATTAGATCATGGTTATTTGAAAATTTTCAGCTAGTATTATAACAGACAGTGGTACAATAATTTATGAATAATGAAACGCTCCCTTAGAAAACTAAATTTGGCTTTTTTTGTTCACATTTGCTAGGAATCTGGATTTAATACATATATAAAACTACATATTTACAGTGTATCATTAAAATACACTTTCTAGCAATTTCACCAACAATAAGTCTAACAAAGGGGAAAAAAATCAGCTAAAACAATTTCAAATGCAGAATAACACAAGAATATTACTTTAATTGTAAAAATGAGAATTCTTCCATCTGAAACCATATTTAGGAACAAAGACATAGCTTCATCCTCATGAGGTGAATATGTGTCAAACATACGTTGAGCCATCACACTGCCCTATGAAACACCAAAATAAGAAATGGCATGATTCAAAACAATTTTTTGCTTATTACTTTCACAAAATATATTTAAATAAATTTTATGAAAGATTATTTTACATAGTACACATAAAAAATTTAATAACACTTTCACACAACATTTCTTTAAATTTTCTGTAATTAAGAAAAGTTCTATATAAATTACTAATCAATGTAATAACATGATATTCATTTTATAATTCTTATATAATATTACTTACTGTAGCCTGATTAAGAACTAGAACATGTATTCCTCTTCCTTTATTATCTTCAGCATCTTCTAGGATCTTAAATTTGGGAAAAAAAAAAAAAAAAAAGAAAGTAGTCTAAAAGGTTTTTTTTTATGAATAATTTTAATAAACTAATGATACATATTTATGAATAAAGAAAAAAAAAATCTCAAAAACTATTTTGAATCAAACTGAAAATTACTAGCTATATAATGTAGCATTTCAAACTATAAAATTTATTATTATACTTCCAATCAAATATTAATATAAGTCTGACGCACTTTAAACTTATGACAATATTTGATTTGAACTATAATAATAAATTTGCTATGAATAGAAAAATTCACAATTCATATAACACCAAACATGTACATATGAACAAGTAATGCAGTAGAAAGTGTAAGTATTAGTACAGTTAATTCATAGGAATAGTCAATTACAACTTCTACTGCCCACAGGCTTTTGCACCAAAATCAGTATTCAAATTAGATCTTTCTGAATTAGTTTCACATTTTTTGCTACCAACGTTTTAATATATCAGTATACCTACATGATTATACACAACCTTTCTTCATACACAGAAACAAGAGTAGATTTGAAAATGGTATGCACAAATATTTTGAAAAAATAGCACATTGATGTATGCAATATTCTGAAAACTATCATGATGGTCTGACAATTTACTCTGCATGAGATGATGTAAAGTAGCTTAACTTGCATGCATATGCAGCAAACTTTCTTTGTAATTCAAAGAGCTAATCTTGTATGCATGTTTACATCAACTGTATGCTTGAATAATCTGCTGTCTAATTTCAAATTAATCACTAACACAAACTGTGCCAGTATATATCCTTTATAGCTGTGTATATATATACAGGTTGAATCTGACCAAGTGGGCAAAACTTTAGAGGGCAATAGAAAGCAGCTATATGAGCAATATTTGTCATAGAATGTATTGTTGGAACACAAGCAGATGAGAAGTTAAAAGGTAGTTTTTCATTGTCACATTTAAAGAATTAACACAAGAATGAGAGGAGATACTTCAGAAAACATTTTATTTACAGAACATGCTCACAGAAATTGCTCAAAAGACTAACGCCAGATGCAATGCAGGCTTCCCGCCTGCACGACAGGGGATGCACATTCGCAAAGACACGAGCCATTTCCCGAGTGCTCCGATGATTAGATCCACATTTGTTTCAATGGGTATCCATAGACTAGGCTTTTCATATGTCCCATAAGGTATTTCTCCTGCCTTCTTAGTACGGCTTCATGGTGTAATGGTCAGCACGTCTGGCGCGTATTCGAGAGGTCCATGGTTTGAGTCCCGGCGAAGGCATTGCTCATTTTTCATCTCTCCTGCTTCAAAATAGCCCTAATGTCTTTACAGTGACGTCCAAACTAAAAAATAAGGTGGTGGATGATAATTTTCCACCACCAGGATTTGACGATTGGGTTCCCTAATTAAAAGGGGCATGTATAAGGTATTTCTCCCACTTTCTTAGCATGCCTTCGTGGTATAGCGGTCAACATGCTCGGTGCATATTCAAGAGGTCCATGGTTCGCATCCCGGCAATGGCATTACTCATTTTTCATCTCTCCTGCTTCAAAATAGTCTAATGCATCTACACTCCCCACAGGAAAAGTCCAAGCACAAGCGATACAGTGTTCTTGGTGGCCAATCTATGGGACTACCTTGCCCATTGCACTCGAAATTTCGTGGTTCATATACCCAGCCATTGGATTGGCAATCCATGGTACAAAATACAGTGGGTGCGAGGAACTGACCCTTTTTATACCATTTACAATGGCACCTAGCGGAAATGCTGTCTGCGTTTCGACGATCCAACCATACATTCTATGAAGAATATTGCTTATCTTTTATCACCCCCTAAATTTTTGCCCATTTGCTCAGATTCACCCTGTGCATATATATATATATATATGTGTGTGTGTGTGTGTGTGTGTATAAGAGTTTGAATGTTATTAAAATCTAGTTAAATGAAACTACATATTTCCTAGAACTAAGTTATTTGATTTCTATATACACTGATATTTTTAAATAATAAACTTAGTTTGAATATATGTAAAATATTTATTGTAGAAGTCCACAAATTTAGCAAGTAGAAATACTCACGGTAGTACCATCAACAGAAACAGACACTTTAGATTGGCTGGACAGAACTTCTACTGTTAATGTTTTGGGCAAACTTTCCTGTAATCTGAAGCTGTTGTGTCGCTTTTCGCCGCCCCCTATTCCATCTGAATCTCCTGAAATGTTATTAAAAATAAAAAATAATGCACTGCTTTATAGGAAATAATTATTATATAAGCAAAGTAGACATTCAGAACACAAATAAATTATATAATGCTGCAGTTAAAATCAGTTATACCAAAAGAAACATCATTTTACTTATTATTTAACTTATGTCACATTTATTATTTAACTATTATTTAACTTAATCAAATATTTATTATTTAACTTTGCTTATTATTTAACTTATCAAATACCAACATATTAAAATGGCAAAGTTACATTAAAAATTATGAAATATATGTTTTTATGAATATTTATTATTGAATAAATAATTGTTCTTATATATAGTATACACATATAAACAACTCACTCATTACATTAATATATAATATACACATATAAACAACTCTTATTACATTAATATATAATATACATATATAAATAATTCACTTATCACATTAATAATATGTCAGACTTCTTCTAATGCTACTTTGAGAAATATAATAAACAGTAGCTTTAAAGTCATCCACTAACAAAATGTGTTTTTAAAAATATAACTATCCTCCCCCTCTCTGAAGAGCCTAGTATTATGCAATCCTGCAAGATGTGTTTCTATATATCTTGCAGAATGAATTTACAGGTAGGGTTACCAAACTAGCATTATGCATTATACTAGTATGGTATATATAGTATAATGTATGAAGAGCCTAGTTTTATGCAGTTCTGGAAGATCAGTTTCTATAGATCTTAAAGTTTATAGGTAGAGTTACCATACTTTAGGTAAGATATCCTAAACCATTTTATGAAAAGTTACTTCCATAAAAATTACCTGTAACTTACACATCCCACAGGCAAAACACATTCCTATTGGTAAAAACAAATATTACAGAAAGAAGACCTTAGGAAAACATTAATTTTAAAATCCAAATAAATTATCTAAGAATTGGCAAAATTTCAGTTGTAAACTTCCTCTGCTTCAATTTTATAGGGAAGCAATAAACATAATAAAATATGTTAGCAAAATAACAATTTTAGTATGACTGACAGTCATGTTTAACAAATACATAACAGGAGAAGAAGAAGCAGAATTTTGGATTAATAAAAGAAACATAGCAAACTTTAAATCAGATCATATAAATTTTTAAAAACTGCATTCCTTTGAGGCTGGATTATTTAAATATAATTCTGAAACATAAATCATTTATTTTTTGCTCATACTATGTATAAATTAAATAAGGACATAAAATAAAAGTTACAGTTTTGTCTTAACTGCATAGATGCTTTTACTCATTAGTTGCAGCATAATCTTTTACCATTATGCTTAATTAGAAACTCTCAATAAAAAATTTTGTAAACAAATCAACTACTGAAAGAAATCTATAAAAAAAGTGCAAAAAATCATTAGGATTTTAAATATAATTGAGAGTTTAAACCATACCACTTTCTCTGACTGCTAAGAAATAAACACCGACATTTTGTTGTCAAGAAAATTTTCTTTCCAGTTTATTTTATTCGGTGTGTCTTTTTTCACCAAAGACATGGATTAGAAATGTATATGTTAAACAGTCAAAAGCTATCATACAACATTTCATTTGTAAAAATATTTAAAGTACAATTTAAATTTGTTCTGAGAGCCATACAAAGAACATACCTTGAGCTGGGATCTTTTTGCATGTACAAGGTAAAAAGAATAGTATGTAAAAAGAACAATTTACAGTAACACAAAAAACATACCTAGAGCTGGGACATCTTCTTGCAGTTTCCGACTGGTGTCCAAAATGAAGAGGATGTTTATGACTACAGTAATCATTAAAACAACTAAAAGCAGGAACTGGAAGAGAGGAAAAAATCATGACAAACAATAAAATTTAACACATAGCTAAATGCATGCAATACACGAAAAAATTAAAAATTGTTTGCACATCTATAAAACATCAGTAAAATTAATTTAATATTATGACTCCTCCTCATGTGCTTTCCCATATTCAAATAATCTAACATGATCTCATGTAACTTTAAAAAAAATCATCTTTCATTATTTAAATATCACTTTTTTACTGTCTTAGCACTGTATTAGAATCCAGCGCATTAAAATATAATAAAGCAAGTTTATCGAGTTAATTTTGACAGAGGTTTGAGAACATTTTTAGGCATATCGATGTTCATGTTCGTTTCTATGAAAAATAGAAATAGCCTGATATAATGAATTTATTATTTAAAAAAAGATGCATTATATTTGTTCTGTGCAATTTAAATAAAAAGTAAATAGAAATTTCCCTTTTAAATTATTTAAATCATATACGATAAAACTACTATGCAGACTAGCTCTGCCAAGTAGCTGAGCGGTAGCTGTTCGAAACCAGGTGAACAAGTTGTTCGTGTGGTTGGGTTTCATGGTTTTTTTCATGTGTAACATGAATATGTGCCAATTTTGCTCTTTCATTTCCCAAAGTTTTGCTTAGAAAAGCATTCTTCCCACAAGGCAGATAGCCCTCATATGCTTTGCAACATTCAGATAACCTAACAAGATAGATTATTAGCTGTGTTGAAAAAAAAAATGAAAAAATGAAAACAAAAACCAATACAAATACAGTAAAGGATACATAATTTTGCCAGTGACCCAATTTACCACAAGTTTAACTACAATTAGAACAGCTTTAATTATCATTTTATACAACCAATACAAACACAGTGAAGGTGATTTTCCAAATTGTTATTTATTTAAATTTTCAAAACTACTGATCACTTTCATAGACCATCATCATAATAGGTCCCATTGTATATATGTAGGTTTTTTAAATAATAATATACATGTCTACGATACTCTGCCATTTAGGAGCTATATGTTCTCACCCCTTCATTTTCAAATCAGATGACAGATGGATCATATCAAAAAAGGCCTTTGATGCCTCACAAAAAAGGCCTTTTTAGATTGGAAAAATAGCTTCACTTGCCACATGCCTCAGGATCCCACACTTCCCAAGACAGCAGATTTTTAAACTGGTTCTTCCTAAAAGCATCGCCACATAACCGACTGGGCTTATCACTCCCAGGTATACAGAGACTATAGTGAGTAGAGCCAATGGAATTAAAACACTAAAAGGCACTTTCTAACTATGGTTCCCCCTGAAAAGTCGCAAAAAGTATTCATGAGACAAAGTAATATGATGCCAAAATAGTTATTATGCCCCCCCCTCCCCCGAAGATGCAGAAAAGTATTTGTGCAGCCATCTGCGTATGCACATAGCACATGTTTGTTTTGGAGAGCACACAATGCTGAAAGTGTATGGATGCCAAATTTCTGCAGTTCTCTTATGTTTTTTAAGTGAAAACAGATAGGTATGTATATACTGAGAACAACAACACAAAACAGAATGATTTCTTGAAAATGTTTTATTACTGATGTTTTTTGCTTGAAAAAAAAATTATTGATCGATTGCTCTTGTGTGGAATTCTTAGCACATCATCATTTTAAAAGTGGCTGTTGCCTTTCGTACATTTGCTTCTAAAAAAACTAGGTGGCAACAAGTTCACAATGGGCAATCAGAAAGTACCCAATAAAACTAATAAAATAAATTCCTCAGTTTAAAGGTGTAATATAACCATACAAAAATTTAATTAAAATTTGTACAGGTCAAGCATTTCTAACAATAGCTTACAACATAGGAGAACCTTTTCTAAGATGACAATCCATGGTTCCAAACCTCGATGTTGCACTTCCACAAATGATCTAGATGGGTTACAATAGTGAGGCGTGACATTCACCATGAAGGTTTCAGTAAATTTTAATAATCTCTAATACTGATTTAAATAATTTTTAAACTTACAAAACACTTTTTGAATTAAAAAGATAAAACTTCAGTAAAATGTCATTAGATTTAAATATAAAATGAGATTAGAACTGTATTGCCTAGAAGATTGAGTACCTGGAATAACTTGGAAAGCAACCTTCGAGGAGGCACTTGTCTTAAATATGTGGAAGGGGTGAAAACGGCAGTCGGTGCTCTCTTGGGTACAAGTGGCTGTACTCGGGGGTTGGATTTCCAGCCATCCATAGCTGTCATAGCAGAGCATGTAGAAGGCCAGAATCAGGAGAGAGAAATCGAAAGACGACACCACCAAAGCGGAAGCTTACTGGCTTTACCAGACACTTCTTGCAACTCTAATTTCATTTTCTAAAAAAGAAAATTTAATAAATTAGAAACGAGTACAACTAAACATGATATTTGAAGAGATTTATTTCCATCAAAAGAATCCACAAATATTCCAAATGCACATTTTATTAACATTTAAAGAACACTTGCAACGTTTTCATACAACACAATCAGACAAGCGAAACTTAACCACATTAATTTTTGATCAAATTTATTTTTAGGAGTTCAATAATTTTACTAAATTACTTATATGAAATACTTATAAATTATTAATCTTAAAAAATGTCACGTTACTAATCGCTAAAAAATATTATATCTTCCCTAAAATTAGGATTATTTAAACTTTAAAAAAGGTGTTTCATTATTTTTCAAAAGTTTCTGGTCTGTTTTTTGTTCTTTAAAAAAAAATTATTTATTTATTTAGTTAGTTAGTTAGTTACTAAATTATTTGATACTTCTCGGTTTTGCCAAGTACTAGCACTTGATTGCAAATTTTGGTGATTATCGCCAAACTATACAGCTAACCCAAAAACTATTATCAAAAATCAAGTAATAAAAATTGTGAAATCTACTTCCTTCTCACAAAAAATCCTTTTTACATACCTCCTATGGTGGTATGCTTTCCTTTGATAAATTACAGTGAAGCCTTTTAAAAGGACACACATTTCAGACGATTTTGGTCCGTAGGAGTACTGGCCTTAAAAAAATTAATATTTACATATTTTTTCAGAACAGATCATCTTACGAAAAATGCATATTTACTAACTTTAAAGGGTTAAAGTGGCATAGCAAAGTAAACGTTAAGCTTACGAGTATAAGAAGATTGCTCTTGTCAGCAACGAACACGAAACTTACGATTAAATTCTCTAAAACTAGTATTTAATATTTTAATTACATATGATAATTGATTTTAAATTAGGCAAACCTTAGTTTGGCTTGGATTTTGAATGAAATTCTGTCAGCTTCATGAGCAACCAGACACAAATCCCTCTTCTTCAGGATTATTCCCCTCCCCCAAATGGAAGAACTGATAATGACATTTACAGTAAGACCCCGCTTAACGCTGTTTTGGTTTAGCGCTCTTTTATTTCAACCCGGGGATTCTCCGAAATTGTGCGCAGCGCTAGGTTTCCAATAACTACCGAACAGGTATGGTGTTTCTTGCTTTGTGGACAGCATTTTATCATTTGCAATATTGTGGACTTATTGGTAGTTAATTTGTATATACTATAACGATTAATACAGTGACAAAATTATGATCTTTAGTTTTTATCAGGGTGATAATAAAAAACAAAGAAAGAAGCAACCAGAAAAAGATTTCCTGGAAATCAAATGCAAGTGATTAGAAATTAGATTTGGTGAACGTCAATCTCAAATAGTGCTGCATTGATTTGGCAACTTCCAATCGGCCAATTCTTAAGAATAAAAAAAAAAATTGTCATCGGCAACTGCAAATCGTCAGTCTGCAATAGAATTATCCGTTCTAGAAATAAATTATAGAGGAATGGGGAAACGACTGTCTATATGGATTGACGACGAATTGAACGTATATCCTTAAGCCAATCATCATATGCCTTCTTGACAAAAGGCAGAAAATTGGAACCAGATAGACTGATCTGACGATTGAAAAGTATATGCGTTTTTATTGTTTTTATTTTTAAGAAAAATAAATGTTTTTTGATTTTTATTAAAAAAAAACATTATTAAATTTAATGCCTAACATTTTTATCGTCTTCCCCTAACATTATTTACATTAGATGCCTTGCTTAGCGCGTTTCGCATTATGCTCTACTCGATGGAACGTTATCCCCGCGTTAAGCGGGGTCTTACTGTATATGGAAAGTATTGGACGTTATGAAAACAAACACACACGTAACGTCATCTGTGGAGGAAAATAGGGATGAAACACTAAAAACTACGCTATTTGAATTTAAAAGCGTTAGGGATCACTGGAAGAAGTTTAGTTTTTTGTGAATATGGAAAACGTCAAGGAAATCCAATTCACCAGCTGAAGAAGCTTTATAGACAATTTTTACAAAAACAAAGTCCAAACTGTTATTAAGACCGTCAAAAAGGAGGTCTCAGTCAAAGAGGAAATCTTTAAGAATCCAATAGTGAATTTTATTGGTTGGTGAGAAGAGGTGTATAAATTAAAAATCACAAGTAAAGCTGGCAATCTTCATTTGAAAACTTCCATTTCTAATTCGAACTCTATTGATCATAAATTAACGTCATAACAAATTTCCTGCTTCAAAATTCCAAAGGCTCACAGCCCGGTCGCCTAGCCCCACTTATTATGTTATCATCCTACTGTTATAAGGTATTTTCTCCCTTTTTCTGCATGCCTTCGTGGTGTAACGGTAGCACACTTGGCGCGTATTCGAGAGGTCGAAGTTCGAGTCTCGGCGAGGGCACTGCACATTTTTCACATCTCTTGCTTCAAATAATAAATAATAAATAATAAAATTAAAAAATAAAATCTGAAGGTTTCAGATTTAAATTAGTCTAAATGGGCGTTTTTTTTTTTTTTTTTGTGTGGTGTGTGTGTTCCATTTATGTATTAAATATAAGTTCTTTGCTTGAACCATAAAATTTCAACAGCAATATCGCAAAATAATTTAAAGAGCTATTTAGAATTCCGTACCAGTTCCTCGCGCTGGAGATAAAAGGCCCCCCGTAGATTTGCCATTCTCGCTTTTAAATCGTTGAGTTTGTAATCAAAAATCGTTTTAATTTACAAATATGAAATAAAAATAAAAACAAATTCCATTTGGGCTTCAGTCCAATTTGGGTGGGAACGTGCGTTACTCAAAATTGGATGGCTCTAGATACCGTTGTTTTTTCACAATGCGAGAAACAAACATACATTTATGCAGATTCTTCGTTATTTAATTTCTATATATATAATACGGGGCGATAATATTTGGTGGCAACAATTTGAAAAGTGAATCGGACATTTATAATGAGCCAACGCAAAACGCCTAAACGAAAATAATAGTCCTCCAGGGCAAACTTTGGACTTTGGACACACTTGAGAAAAAAAAAAAAAAAAACTAATGACTCAACACTGTGAATACTAATTCCATAATTAATGTTTTTAAAGGTAATCTTTCGGAAGATCAGATGAAAGGTCTTAAAATATAACCTAATCTTTTCAAAGACATCTACACATTCAGCTCCTCAAACCACTATTCCTATCGTAAAAGCTTTTAAATCCAGTAAAATTTCAGCAAAGAAAGACACAATCCGCCACTCACAATGACACTTAATTCCTCATGATATTAAATTTAATATTAAGCTGTCCGTTTCGAATTTTAACCAAAAGGAATAGAAGGTCTCACGTGAAATGCATTTTAATTCAAACATCATTGTTTCCACACTTATAAGAATACATCATTGTTACGCACAAACATAGTTACTGATGTAGTTACGAACGTAACTACGTACACTGATGTAGTTACGAAATTGATAAATGAGCTTCATACTGCTAGATCCCTAAAGATCCTTCAACTTCCGACCTTTAAACTTCAACTTCTGACTTTTAAACTGAGATGAAGTATATGAGAAGACTTTAAAGTCTTTTCATATACTCCATCTCAGTTTAAAATACCGTTCATTTATCCTATTACTTAGATTTTATGCTCTCCCCATAGTTCACAAAATCGGAATTCCTTTTTGCTCTGTAGTTTCTAATTTAGGAACAGCATCGTAACCTTTAACCAAATATTTAGCTTCCAGATTTCTCCCTTTACTTTCAAAGGACATTTTGTAGTATAAAAATTGTTACAGTGTAACAGTGTTTTATAGTATAAAAACTGTTTCACTGTACAAAAACTCTTTTGAAGTCGTCAATAAAATTGAAAGATATTTTCCCCCAGCTCTCAGTCGTGGTGTCTTCTGATGATAAAACGCTGTTTACTAACGTTTGGGAAAGCATTAGAATATTTTAAAACCAGACTGAAAATTCCCTTTCACATGGTTTGAAACTGAAGAGTTAATTTTTCTCCATCAAGTTTCTTCAAACCCACTTCGTTAATATCACCAAACTGAGGGATTAGCTATGAGTAATCCCCTCAGTCCAGTACTTGCTAGCATTTTCATGCATTATTTAGAGTCAACTTAGCTGAAAAATTACCCTCTGGGCTTTGGATTCTTTACGCTGATAACTTATTCGCGCCTTTTAATGGCAATAAAAAAGACTTAACCAACACTTTATCTACTAAAGAATTCAATTGATCCAGCCATGCAGTTCACTTCTGAAACTGAATCTGACAATTCCCTTCTCTTCCTAGATATTTTAATTATCCGCAATGAATATACTTAAGCTTAACACAAACGTTTTCTGTTTGTCTGCTTTCCTATACTAAATCATGTCACCATACTAAGCAAAAGATGACTTCTTTTTTATTCTTATGCATACCACGCTCCCAAATTATGTTCTTCAGAATCTTTGCTCTCAATTATTTGAAATCGGTTGCGACTAAAAGAAGATTTTATTCCGTGATCAGTAAGAAAGATTTAAAAAAAAAAAAAAAAAAAAAAAAAAAAAAGTCTTCCGATCGAAGAAGACATTCTGCTGTTAGAAATAACATTCATAACTTTGCCGTCCTATCATTTCATTCTTCTATCACTTATAAAATTACATGGATTTTCCCAAAATTCAACATTCGGGTCATTTTTTTTTTCTATCTATAAAATTCTTCGATCAGTTTATAGATTCCATCTTTGACTTGGGGGATTTGTATCTTGTCACTGTGGTTTAACATTTATCGGACAAATTAAAACAGTGTTAAAATTTCCCATCAAGAGCACGAATCTTGCGCCTTAAAAGGAGAAATAAACAAAACAACAAATAAATAAATCTTAGATACCGATTCAAAGTTTGAAATTTAATCGCAATTTTAACTTTAGTTCTGAGAAAGTTATCCATAATACTTCTTCAATTGGTGAACTGGACTTCCTTGGAGCTTTTAACATTCACAAATATTTATTTTCGTTATTTAGTGGCATTAACTCCAATCCAATCTTTCTTAACGCTTTTAAAACTCTAATATCTTAGTTTTTCACGTTGCATTAGTATTTTCCTAGGCAGACAGAGCTACGTTCGTGTTCGCTTTGCTCCCCTCTATTTCTTACGATATAGATACAGTCGTCGCTCCTCCCATACTGTAATAACCACTTCCTCCTAAAGAAGAGGAAGCTAGGTCTGATCTCCCTCGAAATCTATAGAGTTTTATTCAAACCCTAAGTGAAACTAAGGTTGCTGCTCTGTCCTAATTTAAAATCTGAGACTGGCATGTTTCTCTTCCAATCTGATGATTACCGATTCTGTTACCATTTTTCACATCTTAACATATATCAATCTTCCTACAGTCTTATACTACTACAACAGTAGTCATTGTGCATTTAGTGAAAAAGTCATAATCTCACAATTCAGAGAGCAATATAAGCTACGGAACCATGCATTTACATGCATACTATTTCTACCGTATTAACCTGTTTCGCATAAATAGGTCCCCTTTAAAGAGATTCTGAATTTCTCACGTTGGATATTAACCTAAAATTAAACATGTGTTCTGAATGTATATTCTTGAGGAAAACATAATGGCACAGAAGTCACGGGACATTTCGCACCTGTAAGAGAGATAATCTTGGGAAATAAAAAGGCCTACCGAAACAAGTCAT